GAGTCCCCTCCCTGAGGCAGGCTGTCCTCCAGTGTCCTCCTCCAGAAAGCTGCCCCGCAGGAGGCCCCTCTGCCCAGCCTGGCGTCCCGCCAGCTCTGCTGCCCCTCGCCCCTGAGTGTCCCGGCTGCAGAGGCCTGAAGACAAGAGGAGGAACAGGAAGACCAAAGCCATCCTTGGGGGCCTGTGGGGCACCCTGGGGCCTGTCACCACCTGGGGCAAGGGCTAGGGGCCATGCTGGCCTTCCTTTGGTGACCTCTGCTGCCCTTCTCCTGGTCAGCTGAGAGCCACAGTCGACATGAAAATATAGTTGTTGGGCCTGTTCCTGAGTTGGCGTGATTTGTGCTCCCCAGAGGCTGATCTCTGTCAGGACCTGGGGGGAGGAGTGGGGGCTGGTGAGACACCTGGCAGACTGAGGGCTGGGGGGCAGGGGAGGGAGGGTGAGCCCGGGAGCCCAGGCCTGGCTTCTGGAGCCAGGTCACACTGCCTAGGGGACCCCTGAGGCTGTAGCTTGCTGGCTGGCCTTGTGGCCAAGATGTGGCTGGCAAGAGCTGGCTTGTTCTGAGGCCTGGAACAGTGGCCGGCGGATGTGGCCTTGGCCGGAGGCTGCGGGCGGGCCGGCGGCGCAGCGTTTCCGGTGTGAGCGCCTACTCAGAAGCAGGGTTCTCAGTGAAGTGGTCCAAGCATGTACTCGCTCGGCTTCCAGAGACAGAACACTGTTGGGGGCGCGGGGGGACCCTCTGACCCTCGTGGCATTGCCTGGTCCTGGGGAGGACAAGGTATCTGCATGGCTCTGGTGTGGGCACCCTGCCTCCCTTCTGGGCCTCCTTGCCAGCCCCTGGAAGCAGCCCTGGGCTCGTGCAAGCCAAGCCTGTGCCGGGGCAGGCCTGCCGAGGGTCACTGCCCAGGAGGGATCCTGGTGGGAGCCCTCCCCAGGCGACAGTTTCTGCAGACACTGGTGTGCAGGCGGGCACCTGGGGTGGCCTTGTGGGTTGGAGGGGAGAGGTCAGCAGCACATGGCCAGATGCAGCAGGGGCCTAAGGCTCTGGGTGGTGGGACCAGGAGACTCTGAGGCTCTGGAGTCTTGCTGGAAGCCCCCACCCCCACCCTAGCAGGTGCAGGATACAGGGTGAGTGTGACATCATCCTCCCTGGGTCTTCTCAGCCTGCTGGACAGTGCCTGTCCAAGGGGACCCAGGGACGATGCCCTAGAGCTGAGCCCCAACGGCCACCTTCTCTGGAGAACATTTGTCCCCAGTTGCCAGGAAGCTGGTAAACATGTGCCCGGTGTTCTGTGCTCCTGAAATATGAGAGGAGCTGGGCAAAGCTCCGCAGGGCCTGGCAGGGTTTCTGGGGAGACCAGTGTCATCAAACACTGCATGGAGAGGCCGGAAGGAGGCAGCTCCTCCCTCCCCTGCAGGCCTGCGCTGCTCCTTCCAGGCGCCATCTCCTGCCTGCGCTGCCAGGGCCTTCCCTCTGTGGGAGCGCTCTGTCCAGCTCCTCTGGATTCTTGGGACCCTGGAGTCTGACTCTGGGTTCAGATCCAGCCTCCATGCCTTTTTAGCTGTGTGACCCACCCTGACTATCCAGGCTCTAGGATGTGGGCAATAACAGGATCCACCTGACTGCCGGCCATGGGGGCCCAGCACAGTGGCTGGACACTGGCCCTAGTCTGGACCACCGAACTTCCTGGCCTACGCCCGTGGCCTGAAGCACACTGTGGCAGGAGCCTACTGGGGCCAACCCCTTCACTCACCATCCCAGAATGGAGGCTGTGGGGGCTCCTGAGGCCTCAGAGAGACCCGCTGCCCRACACAGTTCAGGGAGAGGCCCTGACTCTGGCCTCACCCTACTCTGTGACCTTCAGCAGGGACCCGAGGGCCCAGGCACCCTCCTGCTGCTTCCTTCCTGGCCACCCTGAAGCCTCTGGCCCAGGGAAGCAGTAGACAGATGTTGTGTGGCAGGGAGAGCATCAGGCTGGCGCCTGGCCCCCAGGCTCAGCTCTGACCTAAGGAGCTGAGTGGCATGGCACAGAGCTACATGCAGCCCGGGAAGGGTACAGGCCCAGTCTAGATGCCAGGTCTGGGCCCCTGCATGCCTGGCCCGTGGGAAAGTGGGGAGGTGGTAGAGTTAGGTGAACCAGACTTGCCCACAGGGCCTGTAGGGCCTGTGGACTGAGGCTGGGCTCCATGAAAGGAGTGGCCAGGACATCCAAGAGGGTTCCTAGTGCTGGGAATTCCTCCCACTCACAGGGGATTTTATCAACATCATTTAAGATCTACTTTGTGCTGTGGGTTCCTGACATGCCAGGACTGAGGCTGAGCCAGGGGTCAGCCTGGGGTGGGGGTGGGGCCTAGGCTGGGGAGGGGAGGGGCTTGAGGGGGCGGGGCTTGCTAGGGGACAGGGGTTTGGAAACAAGCTCAGGGCTCAGAGAGCACTGAGGGTGGTGAGAGAAGAAGGGGGTTCCCATAGCACCAGGGGCTTAGGTCAGAGCCAGGAGCATTCAGGAGGGGAAGGTGGTAGGGAGTCTGGAGGCACATTGAGAGGGTCAGAGGAGAAGGGGCTTTGCTGGAGGCAGGATGGGGACTCAGACAGCAGGGTGCAGGCTCAGAAAGAGCAGGGAGAACAGGCTTCCCGGGGCACTGAGCAGGGTCTAAGGCTCCGCTGCAGAGGACCAGCTCAGAGGGGGCATCTGCACATCCCAGGGTGGGATGACCAGGGATCTCTCCAGGGGAAAGGAAGCTTATCAGGACCTTTCAGGAGTCGGGAGATCAGTTTGGAACGAGTGTCCAAGAGAATAAGAAGGTGGGGGAACTCTGCGGGCAGTCGAGGTGGAGGACAGGCACTGGTTGATGGACATGTTGTGGGGGTCAGTGCACCTCAAGGGACCAGGGCCCAGGTAGGATGGGTTCACAGGGAGGCCACAGGCCAGGGCATGGACAGGGCTCCAGGGACACAAGTGTCCAGCCTCAGAGAGGGGCGAGGGGCCAGGGTCTGGGAGCAGAACACTTGGCCTTGCAGGCAGAGGAAAGGTGGGTGAAGGGCCTTTGTGCAGGGACAGGCTGACCACAGGGTCCAAGACCAAGGTTGTGAGTGAGGACGTCAAACTTGGGAAAAGGGGCAGGCCCTCCAGAGGAACTGGTCTGGAGGGGCAGCAGGGGTGCTGACGGTGGTGAAGGGCCTGAACTTGATGTGCTTAGGACAGAGGGATGGGAAGTGGCCTTAAGGGCTGGGGGCCTGTAGAGACAGGATCATGCAGAGATGGGTGACCTGGTGGGGGTTTGGTGAGGTGCAGCCTATTCAGGGACTGCGACTGGGGAGTTTGAGGCCAGAGACTCCAGAGGCACAGTGGGCAGGTACCGAGCTTGCAGAGGGGCTGGGCTAGGGATGGTCCTGGGGCAGAGTGAGGGGAAGAGAGTCAGAGGGTCTCATGGACCCGTGGGTGGGAGCTTGGTAAGGCTCCGAAGCCACCGGGCTCAGGGACCTCAGGGGAAGGGCTCAAGTACTCTGCCAAGGGGCCAGCGGAGGCGGCGGGCGGACTCAACAGGCCCAGAAGAGGCAAAGCCCCCGCATCAGGGTCTCTGAGAAAGAAGGCAACAGGTCCTGGACAGCTGGAACGCGAGGGAAGAGCAGGAGTAGGGGGCTCTCTCGTCAGGCAGGTGCGCTGGGCTCCGGAGACGGCTCCCACGGGGACTGGAGCTCCGTGCGAGGGGGCGGGATGCGCCGGGGGAGGCCCAGGGACATGGAAGTGGGGCGGCACAGGGGTAGCAGGGTCCCATCTCGGTCCGGAAGGGTCGAGGCTTCCGGCCAGCCCGCGGCCCCCACCCTCCCCGCGGAGGAGGCAGAGGTGTCTGCGCCGTGAGTCAGGCTCTGGCTGCAGCCGGCCGGCCGGCCTGGCGCTGCGGAGCGGCGCGGGCAGCGGGGGAGGCAGAGGCGCCGCCGAGTCCCGCGCCATCCCCGCCCCCAAGGTTGGGCGGTTGGGACGCGGATCCGCGGACAGACAACGGCCGGGGAGGGCAGAAGGACGCGCGCACTGAGGCGCAGGGGTCCGGCCCGCCCGCCGCGGAGTCGCCAGTAGGTGAGGACGCGCCGTCCGGGCGCCTGCGGCAAAGCGGGGTCGGGCGGGGGTCGCGGAGCCTGGCTCAGACCCCCTCGCGCTCGGTGCGCCGGGGGGCGCGGCGCCAGTGCCAGCGCCTTTGAAGTGTTCATTTGGTAGAGTGTCATTGTGCTTGTGTGTGGCGCGCTTGGGTTCTCCAGCACTGCTTTCGGCTGAGCTGGGGGCTGGGGGCGATGCGCGCGAGTTTGGAGCCCCACACCTGTGCTTATCCTCCRGCGACTGCCGGGGCCTGTGTCGCGGTGTGTGTGCGTGTCACTGTGGCTGTTGTTTACCCGGTTGTCTCAGCGGGAGTGTGCCGGACTGGAGAGCCCGGCCGGTGGTGCTGGGTTTGTGGCAGATTATCTGCCTGGGTCTGTAGGCAGGTGCTTCCCCGGCTCTGCTCAGTTCTCCAGTTAGTGACTAGGGCAGTGTCATTGTAGGTCCGCTGCCAAGCCGGGTGCTCTGTGTATTGCAACAGCATGTCAGAGTGTTGTTGGGTGTGCACTGGGGGTCTGYGTGTGCCGGTGGGTGAATGTGTGTGTGCAGATGGCAAGGATGGAAAGCCGGATGTGTCTGCCAAGGCTGCTGCGAAGGGCTTTGGCRTTAGCAGTGGCGGGGCGGGCGGGGGAGGCAGGTGGCAGGCTAGCAGCTGGCTGCCTGGGTGGGGATTTCCATCTCCACTGGGGCTGTTTATGGGGCTGCAGGGGAGATGTTGCAGGGCTCCAGGGTGGGTGCTACTCCACCAGCAGGGCCCAGCTCATTCCTACTCTCTTCCTCCCTGCAGGCCCAGGGCCCCGGCCAGTGCCCAGCCCTGCTGGGAGCCCCGGCCAGCACCACGGACGGCACCCAGGAAGCCCGAGTCCCCCTGGACGGGGCCTTCTGGATTCCGAGGCCCCCCGTAGGTTCGCCCAAGGGCTGCTTTGCCTGTGTGTCCAAGCCCCCTGCCTTGCAGGCTCCAGCGGCCCCTGCCACTGAGCCCTCAGCCTCACCCCCCATGGCACCCACTCTGTTCCCCATGGAGTCCAAGAGCAGCAAGACAGACAGTGTGCGGGTGGCTGGGGGCCCCCAGGCCTGCAAGCACCTGGCCGAGAAGAAGACCATGACGAACCCCACGACCGTCATCGAGGTCTACCCAGACACCACCGAGGTGAACGACTACTACCTGTGGTCCATCTTCAACTTCGTCTACCTCAACTTCTGCTGCCTGGGCTTCATCGCCTTGGCCTACTCCCTCAAAGTGAGCCCCCKCGGTGGCAGGGCGGAAAGGAGGGGTGGGGGCGGGCTGGACAGGACCTGACTGCATTGCTCTGGCCCTCCCTCTGCTGTGGTAGAGCAGGTGCAGCTGGGGCCCAGARGGACCTGGGGTCCTGGGATGGGGCCTTGGCCAGGCATCCTGGGCAGCAAGGGGCTATCCCTTCCTTTCCTGAGCTGAGAGAGCTTCTGACAGGGACTTGGGTCCCGGGACCCTTCTCTGCACAGCCAGCTGAGCCCAGCCAGGGGGCRTAGGGACCCAGAGAATTCACCCTGGCCAGCAGCCATCCCAAGGTCAAAAGGGATGGAGCCCTCATGGAGCTGAAGAGGGTTTGCAACCCTGCACCTTTTGAGAGAGGAGGGGTGACCTCGGGGACCCTGGCATGCCTTCTGTCATCAGGGAACCTGAGGCCAGGCACTGGTGCACACCCCACTGTGTACTTGGTTGGAAGTCAATGCCTGGTGGCTAGGGCAGCTCAGGGAAAGAACAGGAAAGCAGGTCCCATAGACCCCATCACCCTGGGCCCAGAGTGGGCATGAGTTCCAGAGCCCCTTGGCTCTGAGAGGAACTGGTTGGGAGCAAAGAAGACTGTGAGGCCACGGGACCCACCCCCGCGGGCAGAGGGAGAGGAAGGACTGCGCCTGTAGGGGACTGTCACCAGTGCACTTTGGGTGGGGTGACCCCTCTACCCCCTGTAGGGACTGAGTAGCCCTGGGCTGTGCAGGGAGGTGGGGACTCAGGCGTCCCCACACCCTGCCACTCCAGGAAGAAGGACCTGGCTCGCATTGGGCCAGATCATCCCTTTCCCGAGCCCAGACTTGAATGGCCATAGCCAGAGGCATTCCACTGATTACAGCTGCCCAGCCAGGTGGGGTGGCAGGAGGCCCGGGAGCAGCAGGGCTGTGGGGAGAGGAGAGCTAGGGCAAGGCCGACCTGGGAGCAGGGACGCCCGGACAGCTCTGCCTCTAATCGTCTTTGAGCCAAGAGCCCCACCCTGTGCGTACCACACGCCTGGCCGCCTCCTCCTGACTCATCCACAGCACCACCATCTCCCGTCATGTGCACTCCATCGTCATGCCTGTGGACCTAGCCCCGGGCACCACCACGTGGGACCCGTGCACGTGAGTGTGCATGTCAAGTGTGCGTGCAACGTGTGTGTGTGTGTGTGTGTGTGTGTGGTGTGTGAGTGTGAGGGTTTTTTTGGGGGGATTTTTTTTTTGGTACTGGAGATTAAACCCAGGGGTGCTCTACCACTGAGCTGTTTCCCCAGCCCTTTTTATTTTTTTAATTTTTATCTTGAGACAGGGCCTCATTAAATTGCCCAGGCTGGCCTTGAACTTGCAGTCCTCCTGCCTCAGCCTCCCGAGTCACTGGGATGATAGGAGTGCACCACCAGGCCAGCACGAGTGAGTTTATATGAGTGTGAGTGTGGACATGTGCGTGGGGGTGGGTGGGTGAGTGTAACTGCATGTATGTAAGTAGGCACATGCATATATTGTATGCCTGTGTATGCATGCATATGTGCATGGGTAGATGTGCAAATGTGTATGTGCCTGTGAGTTTGGGGTGTTAACTGCCTGTGAGTATGTAGATGTATGTGCATATGTGCGAGTGAATGCATGTATTTGTGCAAGCGAGTGTTAGTATTTGTTTGTATAAGAGTGTGTGTGCACATGTGCTGAGGAGGCAGCAAGGTCAGGGCCCTTGGGGGCTGGAGTGGCTGTCAGACCAGCCCAGCTCAGCTGCAGGCCAGTGCCTGGCAGAGGACAGGCGTGCTGGGGCAGCCGAGGCTGCAGCTGGTGAGGCTGGCCTCCCCCGTCCCTCTGGCTGTGCACTGCCGACAGGCTGGCGATACAGGCCTGGCTACTTGGGCTCCTGTCCGGAAGCTGTCCCCTCCTCCCCTTGGGCTCAGGCTGTGGCCGGCTGGCTGGCCTGGGGCAGGTCCATCTGGTGCAGGTTGTAGGTAGGTCAGGCCTGTCTGTGCTGGGTCTGTGCTGCGGGGGGATGACATGAGCTCACTAGTTTGAAGAGGCAGAAAGGACTCCCCATTCTCTGGGGCTGCCCCCCAGGTGTACCCTGTGAAGGTGGAACAGTTCTGGGGCTCCCTGGGGGTGCACAGCACAAGCTGCCTCCTAGGGTGGGGCGGGACAGAGCTGTCCTGTCTGGCTCTGTGCCCAAGGGCTGGGGATGGTCCACCTGTCCTTCCAGTGGCAGGTCTCCTGAGCAGCTGCTGCTGCACATCAGGCTGACCATCGTGGGCATTTTCAAGGGCAGGGAATGGCCGTGGGGTCAGGAGGCCTTGGCTAAGACCCAGCTTGGGGGATCGGCGAGCTGTCTCTYTCCACTGAGCTTCTGTTCCCTCACCTGCTCACAGAACAGACGGAAAGAACCCTGTCTAGGCCAGCGCACTGGAGCAGGGGTGGGGGCTGGCAGGCAGCGGGTGTGGCAGGAGCTGTGTCCTGGCCTGCCTGTCTGTCCACCCAGCCCTCCAGCCACCACCGCCCTCCCACAGCGTCGGCAGCTCGGCCCCCTGCAGGCTGGGATGCAGCACAGAGAATGGGGCCTTATTTTGCTCAGCCTGGTGTCTGGGGAGGGACGAGATAGAAAAGATCAATTCTCCATTCATGCAGCCTCCATGTGCAGCCTCATAAAGACATGGCCACCCCCTGTTAGCTGGAGAGTGTCCAAACTTCTCTCAGTATTCAGCACCATGGTGACCCCCTTCCTGGCCTGCCCGACACTCCCTGCCCCCCTCATTCCCCGAGGGCAGTGACGTGCACACCTCGGCCTGGGAGCTTGGGTCTGTGTCTCCGGCAGAGCCTCCAGGACCCTGCTGTATCATACCCTCTACCAAGATGAGTCCCTTCGTCTTCATCCGGGTCCCAGGCAGGGCTGGCCAACACAGGGCCAGAGAATGTTGGTCGGATGGGTGGATGGACACGTGAGATGGAACTGKTGTCCCGACTCCTCAGACAGAAGAGGGTGACTTTGCTCTCTGCGGCCAGGTGGGGCCCGGGGCAGCAGACCTCTGGGAGGAGGCAGCACTTTCGCTGGCCTTGAAGGATGGACGGGTGGGGCATGGCACGTGGAGAGCCGAGTATGGACTAAGGCTGCATGGTGGAGCACTCAGTCAGCCAGGCCCCGCGCTCCGTGGGCTGCAGAAGACAATCCTGAGAGGCACCTGGAGCCACGTGGGGAAGGGGTTGGGGTCCGTCGTGGGGAAGACCGAAGACGAGGTGGCCAGTGCTGTGGCATCCCCAGCCACTGCCAAGACAGGGGAAAGGAAAGGCCCAGAGGACAGTGGGGGTCCTGGCACGGAGATCCACAGGAGGGTGTGCAGCCCAAACTCGGACAGGGAGGGGGGGGGGGCAGGAGCAGGCGACAGATAAAGCCAGGGAGTGGCAGCTGGGAGGCTTCCAGCAAGAGGGCAGTGGGAGGGCTGCCCTGGGTGAGTACTCACTGGGTGGCATGCTCACCTGCTGCTGCTCTGAACATCAACACCAGCATCCACCCCACTGTCTACCCAACCATCCACCTCCACCCTACCTACCACCCACCCACCCACCCTCCCCAACACACACCCTCTGTCCACCCAGCCCCCATCCTTCATCCATCCACCCACCCAACTACCCATCCTCTATCCACCTTCCACCCACCTGCCCTCCATCCACTTACCCATCTGTCCACCCACACACCCTCACACAGCCATGTGACACTTCAGTCAACAAAGGACAATATATCTGACAGTAGTTCCATTAAGATTGTGTCACCAAGGGATGTCCTGTCTTAGTTTGCATAAGTGCACCCCCTGACATCAACAAAATGGTGAAACCCCCTGGCGGGGCATTCCTCAGAACATACCCGTCACTAAGTCATGCATGACCGGCATCTGCGCACCCTCCTCCTCCCTCCAGCCATCTAGACCCGCATCTCTCCATCTGCACACAGCACTGGTGCTGCTTCCTCCCTCCCGCTCTCCTAGCCCGTCCCCACCAGCTCCTGCATCAACCTGCTGATCATCTCTAATGCCACTTGCTGAGGAACTCCCTGCTTCTCTCGCCAGCCTTTCCCTCCGTCATCCGTCATCCGCAGTTTCATTCACCCTTGCACCTGCTGTCCCCCCCACACTCACCCATTCTTTCCTTAGGAATCCATGTCTGCATTGGCCCAAGTCCGCGCCTCCCACCCGACCTCCCTGCTTCCCCCTCTCGTTGCTGAACACCTCACGTCAACCTACCGAGTCATGCATCTGCATCCAGCACATCTGCCTCAGACCTGTTCATGTCTCCACTCTGTGATCTTTCTCAATCTGCCCTTCCTCCCTCCTCCAGTTATTTACACACCAGTAATCATCCCTCCCACCACCACCTCCTTATCCCCCACACACTACCCAAGAGCTCATGTGGCTCTGATTCAGAGCATGTTTGAGCCCTGACCACACCTCTGAGTAGCCGTGAGACCTTAAATCACCAACCACCTTTATGCTTAAATCTCTTCCTTTTACAGATGAGGACGGACATACCTCTAAGTGCTGTTGAGAAGAGTTGACACACGAAACACAGCCAGCCAGGGCTGGGCCTAGCCTGGGTCTCCACTTAGTATTACTCTTGTTTCGTCTGCCCTTCCTTCTCCTCTGTTCCTACCTCGGTCACCCCATCCTGCCCCAGTAGGACTCCGCCCAGGCGCCCCCATCAATCCTCCAGCTTCCTCCAGACACCCATCCTTCCCCAGCTGCTGGAYGCCCAGCCACCTCCCTCCTCACCCCGCCTCTGCCCGTCCAGCCACCCCATCCCACCACTTCCTGACCCACATGTTGAAGCAAACATGCTTCTTCCCAACTTCCCCCTTCCCGTTCTCCCCACTGCACGGCTCCTACTCCAACCACGTGACCCCTTTCCTGCTCTCTCACCCATTAGCTCTTCTCCCCTACTTTACCCACCGACACCCCCGACCTGTCAGTCCCTCCAGGTGACCATCTGCCCGCCATCCACCTCTCCACGTCTCCTCTCCCCCTTTCCCTCTGCCCATTGGCCCTCCCGCAGGTTCCTCTGCCATGAGTCCCTCTCTCCACACAGCACCCAGCTGAAACCCTGGCGCCTCACCCACTCCAACCCCACTTCTTCCATCTCGTTATCTCCGCCCCTATCCCAGGTCTGCCATCTCCTCCTCTGGGCTCCTCCTCTCCTGTGCATACCTGGGTTCGCCTCAGTGCACACGCTTACCCCCTTCCTTCACTCCCAACGCCACGCTGTCCTCCTCCCCTCCTCCCCTGCACCCTCCCTGTGACATCTCATCTCAGCCATTCACTCAGACTCCCTGCATCTTCCCACCACTTCTTCATTACTATGCTCACGGTAAATCAGCAGTGACGAGAAACCCAGAGTTCCTGACCTTGGAGCAGACCTTTTGGCAGGGAAGCCAGACAATTATGAAACACTTACGCATGTCAAGTGGTGATGTCAGCAAGAAAACATGAACCAGCCATGGCCGAGGCGACGGGCAGGGGCCGACGCTGCGTAGAGGGTGGGCAAAGCAGTCCTCCTGGTGGGTGATACTTGAGTGTAGGCAGGAAATGATTCACACAGCAGCCTAAAGTGCACCCGAGGAAGAGTGCACCCCGGAGAGGGGCCGCCACGCAGAGCCCTGGGCAGTAGGGCTGGGCTGGGGTGGGCCGTGGGCAGGAGACCAGAGGGCAGCCAGGGCCCCGGCCACCTAGCCTTGCAAACCACACTTACTAGGAGTGAAATGGAACTCTGAGAACAGGAAACAAAGGTCCATGTGACCTGGCTCACATATAGGAGGGTGACTCGGGCCACTGTGTGAAGAGCCCATGAGGACACAGGCAGGAGAGGAGGACCAGGTGGAGACTGTCCTAAGAGTCTGGTTGGACCACATGGTGGGCACAGGAAGCTAAGACCTAGGCCTTCGAGGACACTTGTCCCTGGGTGTCCTGGGAAGGTAAGGCCCAGGTCTCCACATGGGTACCAAGACCTGAAGGTGCTATAACCTCAGTGTTTGCGTAGGACCTAGGCACATCACCCCCTACTCTCCTGTCTGCACAAGTTGACTCCCTGGAAGTGCTGTGTGAACAGTGGTTATGCGGGAAGTCCAATGCTGGGTCTTCTTTAGAGCAAGCTTCACACCTAGATCTTATTTTTCTGTTCATTGCCTGTCCGCTTGTCTGTGAATGTTAACTCCACTGGAAAGATTTGCTCTGTGCCTTSTTGTATACCCAGGTTGTGTGGAAATTGCAGAGAGGAGGCTAAAGTCAAGGCTGATGGATTGAATGAGAGAGTGAATCTGCCCCAATCTACCATTCTTAGGCATAAAATATGAATCTTAAATCATACACTCCACCTTCCATTAATCCACCTGACATTTCCTTCCAAAATGCAAACAAATCTATTCACCAACTATCCTTCCATCCAACACACCTACCATGTACCTCTCCCGATGATACAGCTCACACCACTGAATCCTGAGTGCACATGTCCCTCCATCCACCATGCCTACCTGTGCACCTGTCCTGATGATGCAGCTCACACCACTGCATCCCCAGTGCACCTGTCCCTCCATGCACCATGCCTACCTGTGCACCTGTCCTGATGATGCAGCTCACACCATTGCTTCCCCAGTGCACCTGTCCCTCCATCCACCATGCCTACCTGTGCACCTGTCCTGATGATGCAGC